TGGGGAGATAAAGGGACGTTTGTAATATTTTAAATAAAAATTTAAAAAAATTAAAATTATAATTAGGTACCAAAAAAAAAGAAGAAAAAAAAAGAAAGAAATTCAGGCAATTTTCAGGGCTCTTTAAGACACCCTTCTCAGTTTTTATTAACAGCTCTCTTGGCTCCTCTCTAGTTTATTTAGAATTTGGCACCTCTTCAGAACTTTCCAACCAAAGATCTGTAAGTTTATTCTAAAGTTCCTATCCTGACTTCATTTTGCAAGTGGAGAAATCAAGGCATATAATATGAACTTTCACTGTCTGTGGGCTAATCTTGAGTCTTGACACCCCCCCACCCCCACCCCCACTATCACTCTCTATCTTCCCTCTGTTGCATACAGTCTTGCCTGGAAAGGAAAAGCTATAGCCCAATTGCCTCCCAGGTCTTCCCTCAACCCCACCGTGATATTATCTGGAGGGCAATAGGACCTAGGGAGGTTCAACCCTGAGGCCCAGAGAGGCACACCTGCCTAACAGCGTGGGTTGAGCGAGTGTGGGAGCGAGCTAGTTAGGGAGGGCGGGATAGAAGCGGGCGACTGCTGCTATGGGGGTAGAGGATAGCTGTGGCTCCCTCTGGGGTCTAGGTGTCGTGGTGAGAAGTGCTTCTAAAGATAGGTCCAAGCGCCTTTTTGTCGCGCCTCTACACACCAAGCGATCCCGCCTTGGAACTCGCAGGCTGGCTTTTTTTGGCCCCAGTTGTTCCTCCCATTTCACCGGCCCCGGTTATCAGTGCCTTAGTTCTCCAAGCCACTGTCCTCTCACAGCTGAACTAGGACCCGGGAGCATCCAGCAGCAGATGGCACACAAGTTTGGCAACATCTACCCGGCCAGGTTGGCGCCCCGCACGTCTTCTCACAAGCAAAGTTTCTTCATAGGAAGAAAGAAACCCTTACAGCTTTCTCTTAATCCTGTGGCGCGCGCGCTCAGCTTCTCTGGCGGAAGATTGTGTTTAGGAACAGCGCGGTGACTTTGTTCCCGCCCACTGCCCGGCTGCCTTGGGGGCGGAGCTTGTGGAATCCCAGGAGCCACCCAGAGAACCCTTGACTGAGCGCGGGTCCTGAGAGAGCATCAGGTGAGCAAGCGAACTAAGTCACTCAAGCTGCACCCCTTGTACTGCCCTGCCTCAGTTCTTGGCTGATTTGAGAGGGCACACTGATCAGGACTCCTCGAGAGGAGCTGCTGGGTGTCGGTGCTCGACAGAGTGGCTATCCTTCTGCCTGGGGGTGCTGAGAAAGGAGGAGCCCACACGAAAACAGCTGTCCCCATGGCCCTTCAACTACTGCCTGGAATTGGACTCTGGACGGGGCACTAAAATGCTTGCTTGTCCAAGTTTCACAGCACGTGTATTGACGATTGGAATCCTGAGCCAATCAAGAATCAAGTTGAAAGTGGTACTCCTGGGCTCTCCATCCCAGACTTCAGCAAGACTAGAAGGGAGGGGTCTCCTGCTCTAACTAGTAGATCTCCGTTCTGGAATCGGACTTGACAGCTTTACTCACCAATACTTGGACTGCAGTGGCTACAGGGTTCTCTTAGAGGTTGGAGGAGGGTTCTCTCTGAAGACCAGACCAAAACACTCAGAACCTCGACAATGGACCGAGTTTATGAAATTCCTGAGGAGCCAAATGTGGATCCGATTTCATCTCTGGAGGAAGATGTTGTCCGTGGGGCCAACCCCCGATTTACCTTTCCATTTGGCATCCTTTTCTCCACCTTTTTGTACTGTGGGGAGGCTGCATCTGCCTTGTACATGGTTAGAATCTATCGAAAGAATAGTGAAACCTATTGGATGGCATACACCTTTTCCTTCTTTATGTTTTCATCCATTATGGTCCAGTTGACACTCATTTTTGTCCACAGAGATCTGGCCAGAGACAAGCCGCTATCATTGTTTATGCATCTAATACTCTTGGGACCTGTTATCAGGTGAGTAAGTTTTTAATCTCTCCCCTCCTCCTCTCCCCCTCCCCCACCCCCAATTTGTGTAAAGAAAGATGAAGCTAATCTTTATAAGACTGATACTGTGCCTCTAATTGTGCTCTCATTCCCTCCCACTCTTGGCTTCCCTGCCTACCATCCAAAAAATCTTATCTGAAATCTTAAATGCCACCACGATGAATATGTGATATGTACCTGTGTTCTAAAACTATGTATGGTACCATTGATGCAACTTCATTAGACAATGTTTGCTCTCTGGATTTGGGCTGGGAAAATTGGTATGGAACCAATTGATGTGGTCACCTTGTGCACACAGGCCATACTTAGCTTAAGAGTGTGTTATTTAGACTCTACCTTTTAGACGCACTATAAATTGAATGAAAGTTCCTAACCCCCTTCACATCCCATCTCACATTCAGTTTCTTTATCCTGAACTGCTTGGGCTGGTGCTGCTACCATTTAAAAATTTTCCAGATTTGTTTTAAAATATTTTAAGACATCTGTAGTCATCTGGTACTCCAACCTACTGTGTGTAGTTTATTTTTCTCTGTCAGTTCATCTGTCTCCTGTTTATCTCTTTGTATCTTTCTGAAGAAAAGTTACATGGTTAAAAGTGGGCAAAGAAAGATAGTTCATCTGTCCATCTGGATGCTGTAGCACAATATAATAGCATCAAGTCTTTTCCATTCAGATTGCCTTAAAGGTACAAGAATGTGCCTTATTCCAGGAAGGCAGGCATCTGTGTCAGCAGTCTCATCTGGACAGTATGGGATTATACAGATAGGGAGACATTGCAAAACTTATGAGGTCAGGAGAAAGGAATGGACCAAGTTTGTCTTGATTGCCAGAGAGGCAGAAACCTGCAGTCAGCTGAGCAATATGGGTCAGAGTGCTGATGTTGTAATTGCAATAGGAAGATATCTTATTCTTGTGGAAATAAACATAGTCCAAAACTGACTAAGGTTGGAACTCCCCCTTAAAATTTTTTTTTTACAATATGTGTTTAAATGGGGAGGAATTCATTAGCCTCCATTAGAGAAAATATGGATATCAACAGAAACAGTGGCCTGGAATTCAGGAGACCTAGTATCTAACTCTCCCTTTGTCACTAACTAATTGCATGGCCTTGGTGAAATCTCTGAAGATGCCTTGGCCCACAGTTCCGTCATCTGTAAAATAAATTGGTTGCATGGGCTAGGTCTCAAACACTTGCAGAGGCAAGGCAGGCATCATAAATGAGTGAAATGGGCCAAGTATGAGAAAAACAGTAGCTTCACGTGTGATAAATGTAAACAAAACTCAATGTTAAATGATGGAGAGTAGTGAGGACTGTGGCAATCTGGAGTCCATGTGATCTACCTCCTTTGAGGCAGCTACTCTATAGTTCCCGTCCATTGTTTCCCTGTTGAAATTCAGACCCAGTATTGCCACATCCCCCAACTTTTCAAGAGGAACTCCCAAAATAGGATTTTATATGAAATGCCATTATTTAAAAATTTGGGACCTTACTAATGAAATAAAAACATGGTATGGGCCAAACCACAGCTGTTGGTCAGACGTGACTCAGCTGGACTATATCCACCCTTTGGACTAGGTAGTCTAAAAAGAACCTTTACAGTTCTAAATCTTTGAAGTTAAGCTGTAAAAGGAACACTTCATCTTCAACTTGGAACCAAGAAATTTAGAGATGTGGACCATGGAATCCATTCTTCTCTCCTTTTTCAAATGCAATTTATTGAATTAACAGATCCAGCACTCACAAGATGAAAATTTCAGCAAGTTCCATACCAGCCCTCAGTTCTGACTTCCTATGTTTGCTTTGTGGCCTCCCAAGCCATCTTTGATTCGGACCCTCCATATAGAGTGTTGAGTACTATGTTTTATATTTGTAATTTAGCTTCCACTAGAAATGATTGGAAAGCATTCATAATCTCAGTCAACTAGCCCCACAGCAGAGAAAAACAATTAAAACCTCATAAATTATATTCTTGATATACTTATTCTCAAGGCAAATTACTTTTTAAGGAGGTAGGAACTTGATTGGTGCTATTAGGCACATGAAAGTGTTTGGAGGGCACAGCTCCCTTTTTAAAAAAATATTTTTAATTGATTTTAGAGAGAGGGAGAGGGAAAGGGAGAGAGGAACATCAATGTGAGAGAAAAACTTTGATCTGCTGCCTCCTGTACACTCCGTAATGGGAACTGAGCCCACAACGCAGGCATGTGCCCTGACTGGGACTTTTTGGTGCATGGGTCGATGCTCATCCAACTCAGCCACAGTGGCCAGGGCCAGGCTTCCTTATATAAATGCAAAGATAACTTCTGGAACTGAAAATGTACTCTAATTTACTGAAGCTTATAAGCAAGGCAAACACCCTTACTTAAACCAGTAAATATCCTTAAGAATAGAAGTGTAAAGAAAATGCTTTATGCAACTGCTTCCTTCAATATTTCATTCAGCAATAGCATTGGTGGACTTGGGTTAAAGTCTAAAATCTTTTGTCAGAAATACACTTAGACATTTTCCCTGAATAGGAAGAGAATGTTGCTTTTTTCTTCTCTGTTCTCTCCTTCCATCTTTTTCTCTCCTGGGTTTCAGAGCTGTCCCTAGAAAGTGGATGTTTCAAGCTACATGCTTCAGACTGGCACACAAGCACCAATCTCAGAGGGATCCTGTGAGAATGGCAGCCAGCACATGTTCCTTGAGGAAACCAAAGGCTTAGAGAGCATATACATCTCTTCTGTCTTTGGTATATTTTTCTGTTAAATTACATTGCCATTATTATCATCCTCTCCTCCCATTATTTCTCACCCTGTATTGTTTTCTTCCTTCTTACTCTTTCATTTACTCAGAAAATGCCCATTTATCAAATACCCACTATGTGATAAGGGTGGTAGGCAAGATAAATATAC